TCTCTCGGTCCCCCCCCCCCCCCCCCCCCCCCTGCTTCCGGTCCAGCAGGGGAGCGATCAGACAGATCCCTGCTGCTCCGGCGCCTCGTTAGACTCCATGTCGATGATCATGCTCTTGCTCCAGTAGTACCTGCAGCAGCGAACGGCGTCAGCAGTAGCCAGGCGGGCGCGAGACGGAGCGGGCCAACCGACCGACGCTTGAGTATGCAACCAATGTTTTTAAGTGTTTATTGTTGAATCGGCGACATGCTTCTGCCGTGTCGCCAAGACTCCTGTGATGTGAAGCGAGACCATAATCCCCAGTCGAACGACGTTCAACAATCCAATCAGACGCCGCGAATTTTCCGGTAACAGACGCAACCGTAGACTGCGCGATTACCTCAAAGGCACGTCTAACCCATAGGCAGCACACACCCAGTTTGAGTTTGATGAGCGACCAGCGCTGATTTGTGCGCACGAACATGGGTTTGAGGCAAGCAAAGCCAGCGCGACACCCCAAGCTGCTGTTCTGCGGAGTACGCAATGGGCATCCCTCTCCCATGATGTAGTTGCCTCAAAAAAAGTATCTGTCTGTCTCTTCACTGTCTCCAATTCTCTGTCTGTCTCCGTCTCTATATCTGGCCGTCTCCCTCCCTCCCTCCCTCCCTCCATCTCTTTACGTCTGCCTTTAAATATAAACTTCTACATCCCTGCCTCTTTGTCCATCTCAGCCTCTCCCTCTCTCTCTCTCTCTCTCTCTCTCTCTCTCTCTCTCTCTCTCTCTCTCTCTCTCTCTCTCTCTCTCTCTCTCTCTCTCTCTCTCTCTCTCTCTCTCTCTCTCTCTCTCTCTCTCTCTCTCTCTCTCTCTCTCTCTCTCTCTCTCTCTCTCTCTCTCTACCTACAGCCGTGTCTTCCTCACATGAATGCGTCTTCCCGCATCTTCGGCAGAGAGCCGTTACAGTTCTCGTAGCTGATGATTGACTGGCTACCCTTCCTCATCTCTTCGCGGAGGATCTCGGTCGTGGCTGCGGTATCCCTGTCGTCTAAGTTGGGGATGCGTTGAGCCGGTATGAACACCACCTGAGAGACGCACGGTTCACGAAGCAAAAAGAGGTCACCGTTGACGTTGGCCGCGGGGGGTGTGCGGACAATGTTGTTGTGTTTGATGATGAAAATGCTGTTGGTGCCGTTTTTTTATGACAGCGTTGCTGTTGTTGCTGCTGACAATGTTGCCGTTGTCGTTCGCCGTCACGGCCCGGAAACGACGAATGCTTACTGCACGGCAACTCGAGGCGCGGGGGGGTTGGGATGGATACGAAATACCCCTCTCTTAGGTCATAGAAAAACAATAAAATCCTCGCCAAGGCCGTCCCTCAAACGTCTACCGACTGCCACGCAAGGCAAGGCACAGCAAGGCACAGCAAGGCACAGCCAGGTGCAGCAAAGGCACAGCGAGGCAAGGCAAGGCACAGCAAGGCACAGCAAAGGCAAAGCCAGGCATAGCAAAGGCGCAGCGAGGCGAAGCGAGGCAAAGCAAGGCAAAGCAAGGCAAAGCAAGGCAAAGCAAGGCAAAGCAAGGCCAAAAGCGCTCCCGTCACCTGAGTCTGGCCGGCTGTGCTCTGCACCTCCTTGTAAAAGCCGAGGAGGAGTTGGCTGCGGTCGTAGGCGGGGAACCCGAGCATGCCCAGCTCGTGAGACAGGTATCCCTTCGCCAAGATGAAGTACACGCTCACCTATAACAGTCGTCCATCGCGACAGGCGCGAACAAGAGAAAATGATACCAAATCGAGTGAAAGCGAACCAAAAAGAGGCGCCAATGCAAGAGAAGGAGGGCGTCGCATGAACGCTTGAGAGGGTGGCCTGTTGATGGCGGGGGGGGGGGGACTCCACGTCCCCGTATCCACCCCTTCGATTAAGACGGATCTTTCTACTGTCAAAACCACCCCCACCCGCCCGCGCCAACAAAGGAACGCTCCGAAACATCGACCAGGCAAACCACACCGCGACGCAGAAGCTGCCCATGTATGCTCCAACAATCACAACAACCATACGCCTCCCTGCATTCATTCTCTCACCTCCGCGGGGTCAGTCACCCCTGTCGGTAGCGACCGCTCGTGAGCCAGCCGAACCGCCGACGGCGCCGCCCCGCCGGGCACTCCCCCCCCCGGCCCGCCCGCCTCCGCAAAGCTAGGCATCGCGCCGAAACCGAAGCTCGGGCCCCGGTCACCGAGTCCCCTCCGCGGGGCCCCCTCCCCGCCGGTGCCCGGCCGCGTCACGATCATCTGGCTCATCCCGGTGTTCAGCGCCGGGGGCATCGGGGGGGCCTCTTCCATCTGCTGGGAGGGCGTGCCGGAGCGCCCCCCGCCGCCGCCGCCGCCCCTGGTTGACGATCCCCCCCCGCCGCCGCTGCCGCCGTTGCTGTTCCCGTTCCCGACGGCCGCCGATCCGGCCGGGCTGCTCCCGCCGCCGTCAGCCCCGCTCCCGCCCGGCATGTTGCCGTTCCCGCTGGCGCTGGAGACCCTGGGCCTCTTGCTCGAGCCTTGGCCGCCCCCGCCCCCCGCTCCCCCGGCGCCTCCGCCTTCCCTCGGCGCCCCCCCCGCCCCGCCCATGCTCCCGGGGCCGACGTTCATGTGCGGCGGCACGCCCATCATGCGCGCTTCGTCGCTCCGACTCCTGCCCGACGACCCAGGTATGCCTCCCCCTCGCGGCGAAACTCCCCCTCCCCGTGGAATCATGCCGGCCGAAACCCCCCGC